AAGTGACAGTACCAATGTTTCCTGACATGTTTAAAAAGTGGTTTGACAAACAAAAGTAAACCACTAACGACAATTAAAACAAAACGCAAAACGAAACAAACTGAAACTCGGAACACAACAAGGAGAAGAATACTTAGACTGCTGATTTACATCAATCGCTCGAAGTGTCCTCCATTTTGATTAATACACAAACGAATTCGGATTTTAAAAGACTGTTCAACATTAGTCAGCATGTCTGTTCTTTACAAGGCCCATATGATTCCAGACAACTTTTATTAAAACAATTTTTTTTATATATTTTACAGTTACAGAATTACACAAGAATCCCTCTTAGGTGGAACCCCTGTATATATTCATTTTGAAATAATAGTAGCTTCTTTTTTGTTTTTATTTTTTTTTAATTTAGATTTAATACTTATATACCCTCTTCTCCCCCAACTTGCTCCAATATTAACCATTTTCACCTCATAACTTGCCTTCAACGAATGTTTTACTGTGCACTTGACAGCGCAATCTCGACTCCGATATTAATTAAGTGTAACAAGTGCAATTTTCTCGGATTCGTTCCGGGGCATTCTCGTCGGGAAATAAAGCCCTCCCGATGCACTTATAGCCGAAAGCAACCTAATTGAACAAGAGCAAACAAACGAATCTGCAGACTTTCTTTCGTAGAGGATATTAAAGTTTATTTAGGAGGGTTATTTACGCCATGGTGTGATACAAGTCGGCCAGGTTTTCACGCTTTGTACGTCTCGGTATTTGCTTCGCTCTTTGCCGGGCTCCTGAACATCGTCGCTTCCTGGTTTAATGCGAGAAAAGTTCGAGAGAATTTAATTGTAAATTAGGTGGCGCGCTCGACTTTGTAAAGAACGCCGCGAAGAAATAGTCGGAATGAAATAGACCTATGTATAATGTATTCTAACAAGAACTAGAATCGTTTTAAATAAATAATAGTCTTCGGTAACGTAAGTTTACTTTCCAATTAAACTTAAAGCACTAAAATTTAGGTTTGACCACATAAACAACATTTTAACGTAGCCCTACAAAAATTATCAAGGGGATTAAGATCCGGAAACGTCGCTGGCCATTCTATTTACCTTTCCTACCCACCCATCCTTTTGAAATAATGTTATTTAACTTCTCTGACACTAACTGTCATGTTGAAACCACGATAACTCGCTTGGTAAGTAGACCATTTATGAATAGAGTCATAAAGTGGCCAGCGCGGTATTTGGATCTTAATCTCATAGATTATTATTTTCATGCGGTTACGTTGATAGTACCGTTTATAAAAACAAACTTAATAATTCATTTAAAATGTGAGGGGTATTTTTCTCCTCGTTTGTTAATAGTATGGTAAATAATGTATAGTTATAATAAATAAATTATTAGCAATATCTATCACAAATTACTAAATTTTAGATATAGATTCGTTGAATAAACAATGACGATGATCTAATGACGTTGTGTGAAGCACCTGCTCTGTGAACTATAGCTTGAAATAACAAGTAAACAGCTAACAACATTTATTATCCTTCTCCTTAAGAATTATCATAACCGTTTACTAGATATTGTAAGTGTAATTCAATGCTAGACGAGACTGTAGTCCGCAGAGTAGTTGTTTAATATAATTTGAATATTTAAAAGTTTATTTCACTTAATGCTTTCATAGTATCGACGGATTAGTAGGTCGCTCTTTGTCGGTAAGTACAAAGCAATGCTCTGATAACTAAGACATGACATACTTTGTCTTACGCAACTTTAATATTTAGTGCATTTCATAAATACCTGTTTTTCTTCTACAGCAAATGTAGCATATAGCAGAATAATATAAAGTGTGTTTTGAATATAACCAACGAAGTGCAAATGGAATCAATGCAGCAATTATCCTGAAATATTTCTTTTTAAAATACTCGACAGTTGTGGAATGTTTAATAGTCGTATAGAAAAGGGTAAAAGTAGGAAAGGATTCAGCTTGGCAAGGATACATAGGTACTAGAGAAAAATATTGAAATTAATAGATATACATTTTCAAATCGAGGCATATTTTCAGCAAAAGCGACATACTATTTTAATAAAGAGTTCTTCATAAAGTACTGTAAGAATGAAAATGCCCATAAAAATTAAAACTGTTGGAACTGGAGAACTCTAAATAAAATATTAACTTTTACTTGAAAGAGTTAAAAAGTTACTGTAAAATTGAATGCTATCAGCTATAATCAATGTATTACAGTGACATCAAAGTTTTGAGCAACGTTTCCTATACCTACGTGTTTTAGCAATTTATCACAAAGTTGAATAAATTTAAAATATTTTCGCCCCACAAAAAAAGAACATTTTTTTTCAAGAATCTTTTCGGACTTATGATTTTTACATATTTTTTAGTTTTTTAGTTGCTATAGACGGATATTTCCAATTTAAAAAAAAATAATATATTTAAAAATGGTTCCTTCGTTTTTATTTTTCAAATAAAGTGGAAGAAATATTCTTGGAAATAATAGAAAGTAAAAATACTTACAAAGACGTAGAAATTATTACTTTAGTTAGATAAATTATTACTTCGAGTTTCGTCTGTTTACGTCAAACATCTTCAGAGATATTATGAATCAATGTAATGCTTTTTTCAACTTCAACACTTTATTTCTCGAAAACAGTCGAGATTTTTATCAAGTTTTTTTTAATTTTCTACCTAACCGAAATGTTTAAGAATAATTCTGACACCCTGTACACCTAAACTTTCCATTTTTCATTAAAACTTCTCCAGAATATTTTAACTTATGATGCGACAGCTCACTGTCACTTGATGAAATTTATTCGAATTTTTGTAGACAAAAATATTGGCATTATTCTGTTTAATTTGTAATTTCACTGTCAATACATTTGATCTCAAATATTCGTAACTCTGGTGAAGATACAGGTGTAAATGTTTATACAGATAAGCCTTTCCTTCCTTTGTAAAAGAAACCTCATACAAATGTCGGGTCAACATAAATATACACATTTATATTTAGAATTATTGGGATGGCCGTTTTATGTATCGTCTGATGTCCCCTCCCACTCCGGCTAGGGTTTATTTACCTACACATTTATTTATGAGGCCACAAACTTTCTACCCTCAGTTTTGCAATGCTTCGCAGTACGCTGTACGACTTCTGAAAACTTTATATTATGTGTATTTTATATGTGATAAATAATTTATGGGGTTCATGCAATATACATTTTAAAAGCTGTAGTTGCGACAACATGAATATTTTATGTGTATATCGTGAACGCAAATATTTTCATAGCAAACGTATTTTAATTAAACACATAAAAATTTAGTTTGAAACGGGGCGGAAGTAAACTTGGCAAATCGATATACTGCGTAAAACTAGTTTTGTTTAACCAAAAACGTCACACTGAAAACAAGCAAATAAATACATCATTCGTTATCTCCCCCTTCAATGCAGCAGATAATTATTAAAAAATAATCTATTTTTTGCCAATTTCCATACATAGAGATTTTATGGGATGTTTATTCTACTATTACTTACACACATCTACGTGGCTAAGCAACTTTTACGAAAAATGTCAAATTTGCTTCAACATATCGCGTATATATCCTCATTCTATGCGACCACATCGATTTAAAACAATAGTGGCTACTTTTAATCTACACAGGACTACATGTATTGACCTTTTGCTGGCCAATCCTTTTCCTGACCACTAATAGAATAGAAAAGGTACAGCAAAACCCTCAGGATTTATCACCAGGCATTCTAATGCTTTGTTTTAATGGAATAGGTATGTCAAATAATCCCTTACTTTAGAGTAACCAGCAAATTAGAATTTAAAAAATATTTGGTAGATACTATCTGTATTTCCTGTCCTGTCTCTACATCTCTGAGAGGTTACATAATTTTCATTTCCAACAGTGGGTTTTGGACAGTTACTTATTGATTATTTGACATGTCACCACCTGTTTGCATTTTCATTTAATAAAACAACATTTCAAAGTATTACCACAGACTTGTATTTAGTTTGAAAAGATAAGCGGAAGCTCATATTTCACATTAACGGCATCTGGCTACAAAACTAGTTTAAAATTAATTTCGTGTAATACATTCAGGTAATCCACAGGTTTAGAATTTTTAAATTGCAAAGGATAGTATTCCTTTGAACGTTTAATCATTCTTACTTTGTAGATCGTTGCGCCTGAAACTTTTAACTGCAATCGACTCTCTCCGGGACTTCTGAATCATTAAAACTTCTGGAAATAATTTAAATAACTACAAGTTTCAAGATTCGTATCGCATTTATATGCGATCCGGATAGAGGGGTAGATGTCTTCCAGAACAAACCTGAATAGTGAAAAATATCGCATACAATCGTGAATCGTCAATCGTGTTGTCGAATTCCGTGTATTCACCAAACTATACAAGTACATATTCATCTTTATACTTCTAAATAAAGCTTAGTTTCAGCTGGTTTCAGTTTAACCTGGAATAGTTTGGAATTAATGCAATTAAAATTAGGATTTACGGCCAAAGGATAAAGGTAGAGACAGAAAGGATTACGAGGATGTTCCTTACTTTGGGCACAACTATTTACCACCAATATTTCAGTAGAGGAAGGTCCTCTGATGAAACGAAAATGACTGCTATACAAATTTTCTGCTAATTCAAGATTGTTTTGGTTTAAATTTTGTATGTAAATAGAATCGAATCATACTTATTGCGTGCAAAATGAAATTTTCATTGCATAAAAAACTACAGTCTTGTTTATAAAAAAATAATGATACTTTAACGAAATATTTATGCTTTAGAAGGATTCAATTGACATGCCTTTATCATATTTACTGTTAAATCTATCTTTTTCGTCACGCGTGACTCGTTTGTCTTCGAACAAAGCGAATCACGATATTTTTTGTGTCAAGCTTTGTTTCGCATAGGCAATTCCAGGAGTAGTTCCCCTTTGCCGAGCATTTTTATTTGCCTAACAAATATATGTTTTTGTTTCAGAGGAAAAAAATGGCCTGGAAAGTTTTGTTCCTGATAAGTTTCCTCGGTGTGACGGATAGAGCCTGGGGTGGCAGGAGCAGGAGGCGGGAGCTGCGGACCAGGGAAGCGGTTATATACGCCATTCCCGTGAGTAAACACATTTCTCAGGGAAAAATATTACATTTAAAGTGCTCTGATAGATGTCAACTGAATCCCTTCACACATTCCTTCCCAGAATGACATATTATAAAAGTAACGCATCGCGCACAAGCTTGAAAACAAATATTACCTATGTCCTCGATTCAGTACTTTTGAACTTATAATTAGTAGATACACTGACAAAAATATTTTTCTTCAAACGCCAACACATTATGACTAGTTACAAATCGAATGAATCATGATTATTCTCACTCGCTTACATAAATAACTTTAAACACGTTTTAAAGTAGATTGCCAATGAAGAAAAGTATTGCAAACTTAGACCTGGTAAGTACTCGGAATACCAAAGGTATTTTTCGAAAAATTAGCCCGGATGTCTCAGTACATTTAGTGTAAATGACGGTTAATTTTGATTGGCTATAACTACGTAACTAATAACTTTTAAAACCTACTTTGAAAAATTTGATTTGACTGAATATTCACAAAGTTATTCTAATTGTTTATAAATACAAAAATTCGACCAATGTTTAAACAAGCCCCAGAGCTCTCCTGATTGACGGATTCGAATATTTCAAAAAGTGTTCGAAAGCTAGAGAGCCCGTCTATGTGTGATTACATTTTCAAGTATCTAAGGGTCTTGGTTTTTGCTGCGCAAAATTTTGAAAATTTGAAAATTTTTTTCAAAATCTGGATTACAAAATTATTATGCAAAATCTATAAAACCGATTTTGATGAAATTTGATGTAATGATTCTACTCTACATAACATGAAGTTTTCTTGAGCCAAGTATGAAGGTCCTATACCCAATTTAGGACCCCAAAAAAATTCCCTAAAAAGTAATGTTTTTTAACCACATTTTTGGCGATTTTTTCGATTTTTACAATAATGATCATGATTCATTCGATTTGTAAGTAATCATATTTTGTAAAAAATTTAATTACAAACGTTTTTTCCACCTCCATTTTCGCCTAAAATCAACTGTCGAAAAGATACATAATTAAATAAGAAGAAAAATATGACATTTTTCGAATTTCTTTAACATATTGTGCCGCCAAAAGTTAAGCCCACGTTTTTTTTACGCGCATAGAAAAATTTTCATTTCTAGTAATATTTGAAAGCCAAAAATCTCCGTGGATATACGATTCACCCAAACCAAAACAGATACCGCCTAGTCTACAGTGCTTTCGAAAAGTAACGAATAAATTCATTATTTTTTAAATTGAGAAGTTTTCGAAAAAATCCCCTGGCACGTCGATTTTGTTTTTAAAAAAGACACTTTTTAACATACGACCCATATTTGTGACGTCATCGTTGTTCGAGATATGACGTCATCGGCAATTTTTTTAAATAGCAACCCCCAATTTTGACAATGCCATTTGAAAGAGCGTATCATTCTACATATGCATCCTCAAAAATCATGGTTGCCTGACAGTAGCCTTAGCGACCGAGACTGTTTTTTATTGCTGTCAGATAAAAACTTGAAATCGTACTTTATTAAATAGTTTCTTTCGTTTTTTGAGTTATTTCTTTAGTTCGTATCTTTTGTTTGGCAAAAGCAGTGCATTTGAAGTGTTTATTGAGTAGTAACCTTGTCATTTTATAAAAAAAATGGTTAAATTATTAAATTAACTAAACGAGAACGAATTGAAATTCTTTGCATGATCGGATTTGGAGACAGGATGCGCACCCAAAAAGAAATAGTTGAATTGTTCAATGAAACTCATCCTGATCGACATCCCATTAGTCAAAGCATGGTAAGCAATATTGAGTCTAAATACCATAACTTTGGACATGTTCGTGATCTTCCTAAATCTGCTTAATGCTTAATGTTTTGTTGGCAATATAAGAAAATCATCACTCAACACTTAACCAATTGGCTTCTGATTTCAATATGGCAGCGTCCACAGTTCACAAAATTATGAAAAAAGCAAAGTATCATCCTTATAAGGTATGCCTTGTTCATGAGCTATCCGAAGACGACTTTGATCGGCGAAATCAATTCTGCGAGCAAATGCAAGAGCTATGCAATAATGATAATAATTTCGTAAAAAACGTAATTTTTTCTGACGAGGCTACGTTTGTTTTGAACGGCCATGTCAATAGGCAAAACTGCCGTTATTGGGCTACCGAAAATCCCCGATGGATGATGGAGAATCACACTCAAAGTCCCCAGAAAGCAAATGTATGGTGCGGCATAGTCGACGGAAGAATTCTGGGTCCCTATTTCTTTGACGTCAACCTAACTGGTGCAAGATATTTGGATTTTCTTCGAGACGACCTCATTCCTGAACTAATAACTTTATATCCAGATATAGAGGGACGTGATCTTCCAAGAAATTACATTTTCTTTCAACAAGATGGTGCACCTCCCCATTATGCAACACCTGTCCGTGCTTATTTAGATGAGCTGTTCCCGAATCGTTGGATAGGGAGAACGCCTGATTTGACACCCCTAGATTATTTCTTGTGGGGATACTTAAAAAGCAAAGTATACGTTACTGGACCGGTTAATTTAGAAGATTAATAGCAAGGATTCGTCACGAGATACAACGTATACCTCCTGAAGTTATTGATAATGTCCAAAAAGAATTTATTAATCGTCTTGGCTACTGTCAGGCAGCCAACGGTGCACAATTTGAACATTTAATTTAGTCGATTTTTACATAATCATTATCATTTTCAGTATTGTGAAAATTAAATTTTAAAATCTTCAAACATTATTCTCTTGAAATTTTTGTTATGTAACACCATAATTTTTCATGATCTGTGTATGTAGAATGACACGCTCTTTCAAATGGCATGGTCAAAATTGGGGGTTGCTATTTAAAAAAATTGTCGATGACGTTATATCTCGAACAACGATGACGTCACAAATATGGGTCGTATGTCAAAAAGTGCCTTTTTTAAAAGCAAAATCGACGTGCTAGAGGATTTTTTCGAAAACTTCTCAATTTAAAAAATAATGAATTTATTCGTTACTTTTCGAAAGCACTGTATAATGATTTTAGGAACAAATACTCTTTTTTTCTGTGATTCACTCCATTCAGGTGATATTCTGACAAGCTCTATTATTGGCTGCAGAACTTTGCAGCGCTGCATACGTTTCCCGTGAGCCCCTCTCGAGTCGCCCTTTAAAGGAAGCGATAGGGGTCCACCTCTGGGGGCAGATACCTATTTCTCCGGGGCTGCCCAGCAGGCCGTGAAAGTTAATCTGTCGGGAATTCTGGATGACCAGAGTAAGTCCACGGATAGAGTGTCATTATAGAGGGAGGAAGTGAACCGCCGATGATTGGCCATCTGATCCTGCCGTTCCGGAACGTCGGCTTTCTGCGTCCGTTTTGAACCGCTTCCGGGGCTGTGAGGATGATGAAGTTCTTACATGTATCATAAGTTCGCGGAAGAGGAGGTCTCGGGAAGCCCGTCCGTCTTAAGGAGTCGCAGTGCTAGAAAGGCCAAGAGTCTAAAGACACTAATTCACGTTACTATATTTTCAGTAACACTCTTATTTCTTTAATCAAAATTAACTTTAATTGACTCAAAGTAATCTAAGAAACATGCCCCTGAAGTTATAACATGAACATAAAGAACACCCTGTATATCTACTAGAAGACCCTGCCAAATAACCAATATTTAAGTTTCTTTCAATTTTTTTTATTTTTATCACTCTGTTTTAGTGTTTGGCATTGCGGTACTTCTGTACAATTAGTCAAGAGCTTCGTTAGATTGCGAATCAAAAGCCCTGTAGAAATTTTAATAAACTAGTACCTCTGGAATTTGAGTTAGAAGCTGCATTACATTTGTTTGCTACGGTCGGTTAAATTGAGACATTCGTGAAATTTCACAGTAGTTCGCCCAGATTTAGACGGCTGGATGTCGACACACTTACTAAAATACTATTGGAATATTAATTGTTGTTTTGCCAACATCAAAGAGGCACAACAAACTGAAACTACCAGAATAAACTTAAACTATAATCAAAACTGCATTACATTTAATATAAAATGGATACATCATCAGTGACTACTATTTATAATCCTCACTTGGAACTGTTAATCAATAAAACAGTTCTCTCTCTTTCACAAAACGATATAAGAAGTTTATGTTGGAAAATATGCATTATCCTGTAGCTACCTGTAATATGTCTGTTCAAAGTTGAATAATGACAGTATTTCACATTTGCGAATAACATCAGCTTAGAAAGAACATTTCCGACTTACCACCTGGGATCTAATCAACAGACTGACCACCGATAATGAATTATATACTGGAAAGGATGGAGAAAATAAGAAGAGGAAGAAATTCTAGAAACTGCTCTTCCGAAAACGTTCCAAAAAAGTTGAGTCTGAAAAATTTAGAATTATTAACCATTGAATATAATTGTCCTACTTTACTAAGCAACTCATCTTTGTTAGGCACAGATCTTTATACTCACGTTTTTCTAGAATCAGTAATTTCAAAGGATAGGAAATAAAAGAGCAGTGCTGAAATATTCCACCTCATTTCTGGTGGCAAGTAATCCTCTACTCTGCAGAAAACTACACCGAATAGCTTCTAACTCGCGAAGAGAATCCTAATTAGTGGATGCCGTCACTTTCTAATTAACCCAAGTGAGAACTCCGCAACGAAACTGTGTTACATTGAGAAAAAGCTTTCTTAAGAAATAACTAAGTTTTACCAACCCGTGTTATGTTACTAGTAAAGTGATCTTAACTTTTAGATAATTAATATAAATAGAAGAATTGTCAAGTACAGCCACTAGTATTATTTAAATTTTTAGATTATAATAGTGTCCCTAGAACAAAAAACACTTTTTTAAATGCAGTTCGACCAAAGAAACGGAAATACGACTACAGTTCCGTATTAATTACTGATTTTAATCGAAATGCACGACGCCGACTGAACAATTATGTTTGAAATCTATTTCGTTTTTAATTAAACCGTACCAGCGCCAACTCAACGACATAAAGAACAAGACTCTAGGAAGTTTA